GTCTGACCTGTGTGTAACTAGTCTGAACTGTGTGTAGCTAGTCTGACATGTTTGTAGCTAGTCTGAACTGACTGTAGCTAGAGTGACCTGTATGTAGCTAGTCTGACCTGTGTGTAACTAGTCTGACCTGTATGTAAATGGTCTGACCTGTGTGTAGCTAGTCTGACCTGTGTGTAGCTAGTCTGACCTGTATGTAGCTAGTCTGACCTGTGTGTGGTTAGTCTGACCTGTGTGTAACTAGTCTGACCAGTGTGTAGCTAGTCTGACCTGTGTGTAGCTAGTCTGACCTGTGTGTATCTAACGTGACCTGTGTGTAGTTAGTCTGAACTGTGTGTAGCTATTCTGACCTGTGTGTAGCTAGTCTGACCTGTATGTAGCTAGTCTGACCTGTGTGTGGTTAGTCTGACCTGTGTGTAACTAGTCTGACCTGTGTGTAGCTATTCTGACCTGTGTGTGGTTAGTCTGACCTGTGTGTAACTAGTCTGACCTGTGTGTAGCTAGTCTGACCTGTGTGTAACTAGTCTTAACTGTGTGTAGCTAGTCTGACCTGACTGTAGCTAGTCTGACCTGACTGTAGCTAGTCGGACCTATGTGTAGCTAGTCTGTCCTGTATGTAGCTAGTCTGACCTGTGTGTAGCTAGTATGACCTGTGTGTAGCTAGTCTGACCTGTGTGTAACTAGTCTGAACTGTGTGTAGCTAGTCTGACCTGTATGTAGCTAGTCTGAACTGACTGTAGCTAGTCTGACCTGTGTGTGGTTAGTCTGACCTGTGTGTAACTAGTCTGACCAGTGTGTAGCTAGTCTGATCTGTGTATAACTAATCTGACCTGTGTTTAGCTAGTCTGACCTGTGTGTAGTTAGTCTGACCTGTGTGTAGCTAGTCTGACCTGTGTGTAGCTAGTCTGACCTGTATGTAGCTAGTCTGACCTGTGTGTGTTTAGTCTGACCTGTGTGTAGTTATTCTGACCTGTGTGTAGTTAGTCTGACCTGTGTGTAGCTAGTCTGACCTGTATGTAGCTAGTCTGACCTGTGTGTGGTTAGTATGACCTGTGTGTAGCTAGTCTGACCTGTGTGTAGCTAGTCTGATCTGTGTGTGGTTATTCTGACCTGTGCGTAACTAGTCTGACCGGTGTGTAGCTAGTCTGAACTGTGTGTAGCTAGTCTGACCTGTGTGTAACTAGTCTGAAATGTGTGTAGCTAGTCTGACCTGACTGTAGCTGGTCGGACCTGTGTGTAGCTAGTCTGACCTGACTGTAGCTAGTCTGACCTGACTGTAGCTAGTCTGACCTGTGTTTAGCTAGTATGACCTGTGTGTAGCTAGTCTGACCTGTGTGTAACTAGTCTGAACTGTGTGTAGCTAGTCTGACCTGTATGTAGCTAGTCTGAACTGACTGTAGCTAGTCTGACCTGTATGTAGCTAGTCTGACCTGTGTGTAACTAGTCTGACCTGTATGTAGTTAGTCTGACCCGTGTGTAGCTAGTCTGACCTGTGTGTAGTTAGTCTGACCTGTGTGTAGCTAGTTTGACCTGTGTGTAGTTAGTCTGACCTGTGTAGCTAGTCTGACCTGTGTGTAGTTAGTCTGACCTGTGTGTAGCTAGTCTGACCTGTGTGTAGTTAGTGTGACCTGTGTGTAGCTAGTCTGACCTGTGTGTAGTTAGTCTGACCTGTGTAGCTAGTCTGACCTGTGTGTAGTTAGTCTGACCTGTGTGTAGCTAATCCGACCTGTATGTAGCTAGTCTGACATGTGTGTAGTTAGTCTGACCTGTGTGTAACTAGTCTGACCTGTCTGTAGTTAGTCTGACCTGTGTGTAGCTAGTCTGACCTGTGTGTAGCTAGTCTGACCTGTGTGTAGTTAGTGTGACCTGTGTGTAGCTAGTCTGACCTGTGTGTAGCTAGTCTGACCTGTGTGTAGCTAGTCTGACCTGTGTGTAGTTAGTCTGACCTGTGTAGCTAGTTTGACCTGTGTGTAGTTAGTCTGACCTGTGTGTAGCTAATCCGACCTGTATGTAGCTAGTCTGACATGTGTGTAGTTAGTCTGACCTGTGTGTAACTAGTCTGACCTGTCTGTAGTTAGTCTGACCTGTGTGTAGCTAGTCTGACCTGTGTGTAGCTAGTCTGACCTGTGTGTAGCTAGTCTGACCTGTGTGTGGTTAGTCTGACCTGTGTGTAACTAGTCTGACCTGTGTGTAGCTAGTCTGACCTGTGGGTAGCTAGTCTGACCGGTGTGTAGCTAGTCTGAACTGAGTGTAGCTAGTCTGACCTGACCGTAGCTAGTCTGATCTGACTGTAGCTAGTCGGACCTGTGTGTAGCTAGTCTGACCGGTGTGTAGCTAGTCTGAACTGAGTGTAGCTAGTCTGACCTGACCGTAGCTAGTCTGACCTGACTGTAGCTAGTCGGACCTGTGTGTAGCTAGTCTATCCTGTATGTAGCTAGTCCGACCTGTGTGTAGCTAGTATGACCTGTGTGTAGCTAGTCTGACCTGTGTGTAGTTAGTCTGACCTGTGTGTAGCGAGTCTGACCTGTGTGTAGTTAGTCTGACCTGTGTGTAGCGAGTCTGACCTGTGTGTAGCTAGTTTGACCTTTGTGTAGCTAGTCTGACCTATGTGTAGCTAGTCTGACCTGTGTGTAGCTAGTCTGACCTGTGTGTAGCTAGTCTGAACTGTGTGTAGCTAGTCTGACCTGTGTGTAGCGAGCCTGACCTGTGTGTAGCTAGTCTGACCTGTGTGTAGCGAGTCTGACCTGTGTGTAGTTAGTCTGACCTGTGTGTAGCGAGTCTGACCTGTGTGTAGCTAGTTTGACCTGTGTGTAGCTAGTCTGACCTATGTGTAGCTAGTCTGACCTGTGTGTAGCTAGTCTGACCTGTGTGTAGCTAGTCTGAACTGTGTGTAGCTAGTCTGACCTGTGTGTAGCGAGCTTGACCTGTGTGTAGCTAGTGTGACCTGTGTGTAGCGAGTCTGACCTGTGTGTAGCTAGTTTGACCTGTGTGTAGCGAGTCTGACCTGTGTGTAGCTAGTTTGACCTGTGTGTAGCTAGTCTGACCTGTGTGTAGCTAGTCTGACCTGTGTGTAGCTAGTCTGACCTGTGTGTAGTTAGTCTGACCTGTGTGTAGCAAGTCTGACCTGTTTGTAGCTAGTTTGACCTGTGTGTAGCTAGTCTGACCTGTCTGTAGCGAGTCTGACCTGTGTGTAGCTAGTCTGACCTGTGTGTAGCTAGTCTGACCTGTGTGTAGCGAGTCTGACCTGTGTGTAGCTAGTCTGACCTGTGTGTAGCTAGTCTGACCTGTGTGTAGCGAGTCTGACCTGTGTGTAGCTAGTCTGACCTGTGTGTAGCTAGTTTGACCTGTGTGTAGCTAGTCTGACCTGTGTGTAGCGAGTCTGACCTGTGTGTAGCTAGTCTGACCTGTGTGTAGCTAGTCTGACCTGTGTGTAGCTAGTCTGACCTGTGTGTAGCTAGTCTGTTCTGTGTTTAGCTAGTCTGACCTGTGTGTAGCTAGTCTGTTCTGTGTGTAGCTAGTCTGACCTGTGTGTAGCGAGTCTGACCTGTGTGTAGCTAGTCTGACCTGTGTGTAGCGAGTCTGACCTGTGTGTAGCTAGTCTGACCTGTGTGTAGCTAGTCTGTTCTGTGTGTAGCTAGTCTGTTCTGTGTGTAGCTAGTCTGACCTGTGTGTAGCGAGTCTGACCTGTGTGTAGCGAGTCTGACCTGTGTGTAGCGAGTCTGACCTGTGTGTAGCTAGTCTGACCTGTGTGTAGCTAGTCTGACCTGTGTGTAGCTAGTCTGTTCTGTGTTTAGCTAGTCTGACCTGTGTGTAGCTAGTCTGTTCTGTGTGTAGCTAGTCTGACCTGTGTGTAGCGAGTCTGACCTGTGTGTAGCGAGTCTGACCTGTGTGTAGCTAGTCTGACCTGTGTGTAGCGAGTCTGACCTGTGTGTAGCTAGTCTGACCTGTGTGTAGCTAGTCTGTTCTGTGTGTAGCTAGTCTGACCTGTGTGTAGCGAGTCTGACCTGTGTGTAGCGAGTCTGACCTGTGTGTAGCGAGTCTGACCTGTGTGTAGCTAGTCTGACCTGTGTGTAGCGAGTCTGACCTGTGTGTAGCGAGTCTGACCTGTGTGTAGCGAGTCTGACCTGTGTGTAACTAGTCTGACCTGTGTGTAGCGAGTCTGACCTGTGTGTAAATAGTCTGACCTGTGTGTAGCGAGTCTGACCTGTGTGTAGCTAGTCTGACCTGTGTGTAGTTAGTCTGACCTGTGTGTAGCGAGTCTGACCTGTGTGTAGCGAGTCTGACCTGTGTGTAGCTAGTCTGACCTGTGTGTAGCGAGTCTGACCTGTGTGTAATGTCCACACATCTTATCTTCATCACATGAGTTGTTGTAGAAGTCATAGTCCAGATGTTCTGCAGACAACAGATTAAATCAGTTCTGGTGCAACATGGCATACAATGTTTGACCAGCTTCACATTAGCGAGATTTACCCATAAACCATTTCTCCACCGCTGCTCGGAGGTCCAGCTGTCCAGTGCCAGCAAACAGGTTCTCTCCGGTCTCCTCCAGATCTGGGTTGTGGTTCCAGATGCATTTAGCAGCGTAGCCTTCTGCTATCACCTTCAGCGATGCGTCCCATTTCTGCAGAGATCAAAAGCAGGAACTTAGCCTTCAGCTGCACCACCATAAGCCTCTGGTCCACCTGGTCCATCTTACACGCATCACCGAGTCCCTCAGACATGTGACACGTTTTTGAAATATAACCATTTGGAGGAAGCGAATAAAAACCGGAATGCTTTAGAGGAAATCTCTGAGTCAGGACATCAGAGTGTTTCCTCTCTCTACCCACAAAACTGCTGATTCCTGACCTGACCTTTGAACCTGAACCACACTTGAACCCAAAAAATGATTTCCTCTGAGAGATCTGATCCAGAATCAGAGGTCAGTCCACATCCCGCTGAACAAATAGGAAAACCGAACAAAATAAATAATAAACAATATTCCATGTCAAACTTTTCTCTGG